GCATTATTGAGAAATGGATAGAAGAGCTATATTAAGATACATCATTTCACAGGTAGCATACACAGAGCTAACAGGAGAAGAAAAATAGAGATGTGGAAAATAGCATAAATAAATTTTTTTTAGTTTAACATTTTTGAGAATTATATATGCTATGAGTTTATGGTGTAAGATCCAGGGTGGTATATATGGTATAAGATCCAGGATGACCAACAGATACAGTCTAAATGATGCCCATAAAACAGCATTTGTCATCTCTTTCTATCACCTGTATGTAGCACATATTAAGTTGGAGTTGTCTCTGCTCCAGCTGTCAATATTAGTTCAGGGTTATCATAGTTTTGGCATTAGGTTCATATAAACAGCTACATTGCTTTAAAAGAAGCAATGCTTATTCATAATTTCATATTTTACATTACAATATTCAACTGGCAACTCCTCTACTGTAACCTCCATGAGAATAGAGTCTTATTTATTATGGATCACCCTTCGATATATTTGTCTGGCATACTATCCACAATATAGTATCATAAATATTTGCTGAAGTTAATTGAATTAAATGAGCAAAATTTAATTCTCAAAAACAGTTATATTAGCAAAGACCTAACTAATAAGAAGAATCCTTTAATAAGGGAGTTTGTTGAAAAGAGTGACATAGGCAAAATGTCCAAAAGTTTAAAGTCTCCAAGGTAAGAATGCTGTCAGAGTGTCCGATGAATGACAATACTATGTGAGTGGCTAGAGCAGAATTGAACTGCAAGAGTTGTAGTAGATGGCATCCAAGAGGGACAGGGCACAGATAATATAGATCATTGTAATGACTAATGCCATGTGTCCACTCAGAGAGGCTGTAATTCTCAGTGGTTGGGCAGACTCTATGGACCACTTCCCATACTGTGGTCTGATGTGATCAGCCAATCAGCTGGAAGAAGAATTTCCCTGGGGCTTGGGATGTGAGTCATCAGTGCCCTTCAGTCAATCGCCTAACCTATGGAGTTTGCATTCTCCAACCTTCACAATTCTGTAAGGCTTCTACCCTGTCTGCTGGCCGAATGATTTTGAATTTGCCAACTCCACAACCCACGAGACAGTAGAGGCTTCACACCTATTACCTGACCTGACACTTTGGGGTCCATCCACCCCTGAAACCCAGCGAGTCAGTGGAAGTTGTCAGCTTGCTGTGTAGTCCATGATTTGGAATTGCCACCTCTATAATTACACGAGCCATTTCCTCGCAATTGTGTGAACCCTTTCCTTGAAGTAAGTCACTCTAAATATTTATATATGTTTCACTGTTGTTTTTTTCCCTCTAGAGAACCCAGACTAAGATAGGGAGAAAAACCAACCAGATAATAGGAGAGTAGGAAAGAAAATAAGTAGATAATTCAAAGTTCAAAACTATTATTTAAGCACATTGGGATGGTAGCCTAAGAAAGAGGTCAAGAGCAACACCTAATTGCAAAGGATGCTCAGAAAGAGGGAGAAGAAAAAGGAAAATGCATATACAGGTGACTTTTGGCAATCTCTGCCATAAATATAGCCATTACTCTCATGAACAGTCATTGTCTAGCATTTACTTTAGATGAATTAGATATCATTAGGAGCATACGTTTTGTAATAAACATGTAATGTTTTTACTGTGCACAACAATGACATTTGAGGTTAATAATGAAAATCAAACCAAAGTTAACACCCAAATCACAAAGCCAGCATATTAAAATACGTATTAAAGTGTTAGAAAGACCCACTGAAGATCCTGCTGAAATGCAAATTATGAACGTGGTAAGAAGCTCAGAAGTTAGAGTATTTTCTTTTTAAAGGGAACCTTCTCGCAGCACTGCTTTTGTTTATTCTCTTCGTGTGTAGTGTTTTTGGGTTTTCATCAAGATGAAACAAGCTTAACCTGTTGCTGAAGTCTTGGAGAAAATATTTGATTATTACTGCCAACACAGCAGAATTGGCTTACAATTAAAGTAATGTTCAGTATAGTTGTCCATCTTTTATTTGTTTAGCTTTAGCTTTCAAATAGCTTTATCACTATAAAATCCACATATCATACACTTCCAAAATTAAGTCACTTTAAAAAAGAATTGTATAGACATCATCACAATCAATTCTGGGGCTCTCTCCACGTTCCCGCATTCATGGTTTGTTCCCCATTTTCCCTATATTGACCCTCACCATTGCATCAGTTATTGTCTCGATGTATCCATGCTTTCTGTGCTCCATAAACTGGGATACCTAACAGAAACAATAAAGAGATTTTGTGAAAAAGTGAAATTGAAAGACAATAATATAAAGATAAAAATTAAAATTAAGAGTAAGAAAGAAAAGACTTCTAGCAATAATAAAAAAAGCCAGAGCAGAAATTGCTGTCATGGAACAAGTGAGAAATATGTAAGCCTAGACCAGATTCAGTTTGGGTCAAGAAGGTCAATTACCAAATATATTGTGTTTTAGTTCAATCCGCCATAATCAAGTTTACAATAATCTCTATCTGATAGTAAATCTGTTCAAATCCCTGACCTGTGACTAGAGGGGATCTGCCAGAGTTTAATCTGACTTGATACTCTCCAGAAGAATTTGGGGCTCCCAGTGTCCTCTTTAGCCTTCTACAAAGTGGGTTCACAATGTAATTTCTACGACTTTTCCCTCCACCATTTTTGGTCTTTGTTGTGTCATCTTTGCATCACACAGGCAAGTGTGCTTCTTCCATGTGGACTCAGTGGGCACCTCACTTAGATGGCTGCTCATTTGATCCCAGACATTATTCCAATTAAGGACAGGGCACTACCTGCTTTCTTTACCACAATTTGCTGTAGCATCCTTATCTTCGGTGATCTTTTCATGAAAGCAAAGTATCAAGCAGGGCCAGGGAGCATAATTTTTTTTTAAATTAAAAGATCATTTTATTGGGGACTCTTAGAACTCTTGTTAAAATCCATACATCGCTTGTATCAGACGAATTTGTACATATGTCGCCTTCATTCTTTTCTAGACATTTATTTTCTATTGAGCCCTTGGTATCAGCTCCTCTTTTTTTACCCCTCTGACTCCCACCCCCACCCTCATAACACCTTGATAGATTATAAATTGTTAGTATTTTCATCTCTCACACCGACCGCTGTCTCCCCTGATGCTTTCTGTTATTCTTCCCCCTGGAGAGGGCTGTATGGTTATGTGTCGATCATTGTGATTGGTTCCCCCTTCCTTCCTTTCCCCCTCTATCCTCTACCCTTCTGGTATCACTATTCCCACTCCTGTTCCTGGATTCTGTGTGTTGTGAGCTCCCATCTCTTATCTATACCTGTGTACATGTTCTGGTCTAGTCTGAATTGAGAAGCAGCACTGGGGTCATGGTAGTGGGGGGGTGGGTGAGGAAGCCTCAAGGAACCAGAGGAATATAGTGTGTTTCATCGATGTTTTACTGCACCCTGGTTGACTCATCCCTTCCCTGTGGCCCCTCTTTGGGGAGATTGTTCCACTGTCTACAGATGGGCTTTGGGTCTCTGCTCCAACACTTTTATACACCAGGGAGCTCCAAAAGTTTGTGGAAAATGGTAAAAAATAAGGGACTTCTTATTTTAATCATTTTGTTGGGGGCTTGTACAGCTCTTATCACAAACCATACATCCATCCATTGTGTCAAGCACATTTGTACATATGTTGCCATCATCATTTTCAAAACATCTTCTTTCTACTTGAGCTCTTGGTATCAACTCCTCATTTTCCCCCTCCTCCCCCCACCTCCCTCCCTCATGAACCCTTGATAATTTATAATTATTATTATTATTTCATGTCATAGACTGACTGATGTCTCCATTCACCTATATTTCTGCTGTCCATCACCCTGGGAGGGGGTTATATGTAGATGGTTCTCCTTTCTCCCCTCACCCTCCCCTTACCCTCCTGATATCAAGACTCTCATTATTGATCTGAGGGATTTATCTGTCCTGTATTCTCTGTGTTTCCAGCTCTTATCTGTACCCATGCACATGCTCTAGGCTAGCCAGATTTGTAAGGTAGAATTGGGGGGCGGGGGGGGAGCATTAAAGAACTAGAGGAAAGTTGTATGTTTCATCGATACTTTACTAAAGGGACTTATTTTCATGAACTTTTTGAAGCTCCACTGTATGTATATATACAGAAATTCTTCATTTATGAACAAATATTCTATTATAAACAAATGACCACATAAATTACAAGCAAACTCAAATAAAACATTAACATTAATTAGTCTTCAAAACCATTTTACTTAGTACCCATAGTGCATCCTTTGAAAAAGTTAAAATGCAAACTACTTTTCTATTGTTTGTCATTTAGGCTGTTACCAGCAATTTGCTATTACCAATTATGCAATGTACATAAATATGTGTTCACATTGATGATTATTCTCTATGGATAAATTGCTAGTTGTACATGTCTGGACTAAAATATTGACCTATTTTTATTCTTGTTCTCTTTGTTTTTAAGTTGTTGTTACATATTGCCTGCTTACTACCAGTTAACAGTCCAATATGAATGTATCTATATCCATTTTCTTGTTCTTTGGGTCACTGTGGCCATTATCATTTCTTCAAAGTGTTGCCAATTGCTAGGGAGAAAACATTGTAACTTGTATTTTTTATAGATATTTAAAAAGAATCTTTAATTTTATAATAAGAGGGACATTCAGCAAGTTCATGGGAAAGGGGAATCAAAAGATTAAGTAACAAAAAGAATTTCATCTCTTAATCTTTTAAGTGATGACCTGCAGTGTGGAATTTAAATGTTGATGTCTTTTAAGCATTCAACTCACCTGAACCAAAAAATAAAGGATTAAAAAACAAAGGCTAAACTGGATCAAAAACAAAAAGGCTCTTTCTTTTCCTCCTTGTGAGTATAGATGTAGATCTGAGATTGCTTAACAGTATTTGAGATTCCGAGCATTCTGGAAAAAAAATTTGAAAACAAGTCTAACTCATCAATAGAAAATAACCTAGTTTCAGGAAAGGTGTATTAGAGACTGTTCCCCTCATGGTTTGTCTCCTCAGTCATTGTCCGCAGGATTCTGAGAAGCTGTAGGAATAGGCAGGTACAGACTCCAGGCCTGGCTGGACCTCTGGCATTGTGGAACAGGACCGTATATCATGGGGCAGAGTCCTGTGCTCCTCCATGCCACCTGGACAGAGCCCGGGAAGAGTGACCTCCCCGGAGTATCCAGATCATGTAACTCATTGATCTTATTGTGCAACAAGGATGATAACAGTATCTTAGTCATACTAGTGAGACTTAGCGAGACTAGTAGGAAAGCAATCAAGTCCAAATTAGCATCCCGGCATTCTTGTCTAAATCTGCTCAGTATGACAGTTATCCTGCCTTTATTAAAGAAATGAAAAGTTATAGAAACTACAGATTTATGCACTACTTCAGAAGGAAAGGTAGGGTCATAATTGCCACACTTCCAAGTAATCTTTTCCAGGGATATGGTAAGGAGTAATTTTCCAATGCTTGCCATTAACTGTGAACCTAATCTCTTTATGTCCTTTAATTCCTATTACATAAAATAAAGTTAATGTAGATCTCATTAACTGGAACTCATACATATTGAAGAACATTCAATAATGTCATGAAGAAAATGCTGTGTATATAAACTCACGCTACTCTACAATAGAGTGTTCTTAATTGTCTTAGTCTATTGGGAAGCATTTTCATTTCATATTTTAAGCAGATCACGTAACTTGATCACCAACAATATGAAAAAAACTTAAGTTATGTCCACATCTTTAAATGTAGAATGTTATTTACTGCCAGATTCCCATGCATCAAATAAAAATGGAGCACAAGCAATTATTGTTGATATCAATATAAGAAAGATTGATTAATAAAAACATTGTTGAGAAGCAGTAAATAGGATCAATTTTTAATCCTTTCAGGATTAGAATTGTGCATAATTTTGTTAACACATTTAATGACGTATGATTGTTTATTTTTCTGTTTCTGAGAAACTAAATTTTCATTAGTCCGTCTCACTATCATATATGTATGGGCGTATAGATTCTGGTAAAGCTTCCTTTCTTTCTAACCCTTCAATATTTTCCTTAGCAAAAAAGGGACTATTATTGTAGGTCTTTCATAAAAGCCAAGTGTGTAACGTGAAGTTTTGATCATTTGCTTTATGCCATTTTGCTTTTACCCCTATCAGTACCTGTTTTCACTCCATGAAAGAAATCTGAAGAAAATTTTAGCAGAATCATTTTGCCACACAATTAATGGTAATTTCTTCTTTGCTTTAAGCCATTTTGGCAGAGCAAAAATTTCTTAGGAAAAGCTTTACTCTTTGACCATTGTTAGGAGCCATAGTGTACATTCTAACTCGTAGGGGCAGAAAGAAAGAAGTACAGCCCCTGCACTCTCATCACAGCTGTGCCTACGTTTGGGCCTGTGGATGCAGCCGCTGTGTGAATCTGTCTCTTCCAAGGCCTTTGCCATCTTCACCGCCCTACTTCTCCAGGATCTGATCTGTCCTGAAAACATGTTCAAAGTGCATGTGAAGACTCGCCATCCTTGCCTCTAAAGAGCATTCTGGATGCACTTCTTCCCATGTAGATTTGTCAGTTCTTTTGGCAGTCCGTGATATTTCCAATACTCTTCCCCAGCACAATAGATCAAATGCAGCAATTCTTCTTCGGTCTTCCTTAGTCAATGTCCAACTTTACATGCATGTGAGGCGATCGGTCATGGCTTGGGTCAGGCACATCTTAGTTCTCAAAGTAACATTCTTGATTTTCAACACTTTAAAGAGATCTGATGCCCAGATTTGCCCAATTTAGGTGTCTTTTGATTTCCTGACTGCTGCTTCCATGAACATTGCTTGTGGATCCAAGCAAGACAAAAATCCTTTGCAATGATCATCTTTTCTCCATTAACCATACTGTTATCTACTGGTCCAGTTGTGAGAGTTTTGGTCTTCTATACATTGAGTTGTAATCCAGACTAAAGGCTACAGGCCTGAACAGCAGCAGCAAGTTCCCAAAATCCTCCTCCCTTTCAGGAAACAAGGTTGTGTCAATCACTTCTTGCAAGTTGCTAATATGCCTTGCTCCAAATCCTGTTGCCACTTTCATCTTTATATAATCCAGCTTTCTGGTTTATTTGCTCAACGTACAGATTGAATACATATGGTAAGAAGATATAACCCTGACACACCTTTTTAAAATTCCAAACCATGCAATATCCCTGGTCCTGTTGGCACACTTGCCTCTTGATCCACATATAGGCTCCTCATAAGCACGATGAAGTGTTCTGGAATGCCCATTTTTCTCACAGTTTGTTATAATCCACATAGAAAAATGCTTTGCATTGTCAACAAAACACGATCAAATATATATATATGGTCTTCTCTGCTTTCAGGCAGGATCAGATTGGATAGATAAACACATACACATACATATATTCAACATCCAGAAAGCAAAAAACAAAACAAAACAAAAACCCTACAAAAATTGCGGAGCATCCAAGAATGTGAAACAACTAATTAGAAAGCAGTAAAAAACAAAAATTACCACATCATCACCATTACAATTAGTGCCACTGTTATTTTATGACTGTTACAAGGTCCGTGTATGCCATGTCTGTGATTTCAAAGTGATAGCCAAAAATAATCAGCTTACCCAAAGGAGGATTTATTCTAAGCACAGAGGGACATCCTGTGACCAAGGAATCTCAGTAATGTGAATGCAGATAAAATCAGATAAGACTCAGTTACCTTCAGGACTCTTTTTTTTAAATTCCTTGTAGTGTTTTTTTTCTTTTATACTTCCCTTACTAAGTGTGCCTTCTGCTTCTCCTTACACTGGCTGTCATAGTTACATAATTTCATGTCAACTTGAAATGTAGGGGTGGAGTCTAGCCAGTCAATCAGGCCACAGCTTGATGGTGCCTGCCCACCGCTTGTGGCGTGGTCTCCACATAAGGAGTGTCCTGGGAACCTCCCTCTTTCTCTCTACCTTCACCTTCCTGCTGGTTAGTCACTTAGAGACCTGCATGAGTCCTGGATGCAGCCATTACCCTGGGATCCACATGATTTTGAATCCAAAGGCCTGTGATCTTTCTGCATCATTGCATGTGGCTTTGTGAGTCTGAAGAGGGATTTATGGGACTAGGATTGGACACATGGACTTGAGTTGGACTGGGCTGGGCTGTTTTCCTGATATATAATTACTTCCTGATAAGAAGCTCTTTCTTATACATATATTCATGTCTCAGGGTTTGTTTCTCTAGTTAAGCCGACCTAACACAATGGGAATTTTCCACTTTTGGGTCCAGGTGTCTCCATTTGTATCCCTGGGACTATTTGTAACCCAGTCATCTGAGGGTCCAGACAGGAAATGAGGGAGATTCTTTTTCTGGATCAGTTAACAAAATTTCTGAGAAAGATTCTGATTTTTTTGGTGAAAACAGATGTCTAGGACTGAACAAATTTCCTCTGTAATTCTATTATATGAGATGCTGCCACATAAATTAAGTATGAAGATCAATCAATTTTTCTAAGTAGTACATTCAGAGAACATTAATTGTAAAAAAATAATTTTGTAAGTTGTCTATGAGCCAGTTGACTCAATTGCCAGATTTAGCAAATATACTTATCACGAAAATGGTTTGTGTATATCTGATGGATCTCCTAACAGCTTTAACAAAAATGGATGATTTTTTTAGTGCCAACGCATTTTTAAATTATTTGTGTAATATATATGGGTACTTCAAAAATGTTAAATACAGAATTTTAAAATAATGGCCTATTTTCACAAGGTTTTTGAAGTCCCCTTGTACACACACACACACACACACACACATGCATATTCATACAGAAATAATTATGAGGGTAAGTAAAAAAATGTTTCGATAAAATCTTAGCACCTTTATTTTATTTTTTTAAAGTCCTTAAATGTGAAGCTGTTGTTTCTTAACATATCCTTCATCTAAATTTATGTATTTCTGAAAGTGGTGTTTCCATCACTCTAATGCTCTCCCCCACCCCAAAGTTTGTGCTTTTCCATTCATTTCATATCTAAATGTCAATTGCGGCATCTTGAAGAGACACACGTAGTGTTTCTTTTACGGTTTCTTTGAGTTTTGGAGGCAGGAAGATGTGTGAGAGGACACAATCAGTGTGACACAGTGCACACGGTAAGGCTTCTCAACAACTTCTTGTAGGACAGCACTTTCTATGCTTGAAGATTGAGCAAGTGCATTTTGTTGTGAGATAGAAAATGTCCCGTGGCTCAATTTTAATAGCCTATTTCTCATCAATGCAATTTTCAGTTTGCTTAAAACCTTTTTCTGCTTTCTTTGAGAATATTTAACAGGAATCTCACTTTGGAATAAAAACAACCATGAATAAGCAGTTGCCATTACCATCTGAACTGACCTTTCTACCTTGAATTTAACTGATGCAGCTGATCTCCTAAGAAATTACTGTTTTTGTTGAACTTTTTGTTTTAAAGGACATTAACAGTTCTAAGACAAGCATTTTCCTGAGAGCACTTGTTTGCCATCATCCACAGACAGAAGAAGCATGTTTAAATTCAGTCTGGGTGGGAAAATCCAAATCCAAGGATGTGTGCATGAGAACCCTTGTAGTAACCCTTTGGGACTTACCTATGTAGATATGCTTTTTAGTAACATTTTAAAATTTAAATTTAACCTAATTAAAGTTAAAGTTAACTGATAAAAATAAACTGTTGGATGTGATGAAATGTTTCTAGCAAGAAGCAGTGGGAAGCATAAACCTATTAAACATTAGGGGAAAGATTGGATATCAATCAGTAAAAATACCGAAGAGGAGAAGTAAAATAAAGATTCCCTAAAGTAGTGGTTCTCAACCTTCCTAATGCCATGACCCTTTTATACAGTTCCTCATGTTGTAGTGACCGCCCCCCCTAACCATAACATTATTCCCCGCCCCCAACCATAACATTATTTTTGTTGCTACTTAATTACTGTCATTTTGCTACTGTTATGAATTGGGCAACCCCCATGCAAGGGTCGTTCGACCCCCAAAGGGGGTCACGACATACAGGTGGAGATCCGCTGTCCTAAAGGGATTACTCTAATGGATATTCTATTCCACATGAATAGAAATCACGTGGAATGTGACAGGAGCAACCACATCATAAAATACATACTGACAATGAGGTTCTAGATATTTCAAATTAGATTTGAAATGC